AAGATAACTGGGCCGGCCCGGTGGCGCACTGGATAGTGCGCCGCTTGGGAAGCGCGGCGGCGCTCCCGCCCGAGGGTTCAGATCCCACATGCAGACCGGTTCCCGCTCACTGGCTGAGCGAGGCGCAGGAGTAACACCAAGGGTTGCAATCCTGTTGCCGGTCCCCGGTCCGGTACGGGGGCAACACTGAGGGTTGTGATCCGTTGCCGGACACGGGAAAAAAATAAATAAATAAATAGATAAATAAATAGTTACGCTCAACAACAAACAACCTGTCTTAGTCTGTTTTCTGTTGCTATAACAATACCACAGACTAGGTAAATTATAAGCAGTGGAAGTTAATTCAGCTTACAGTTCTTAAGGCTGTGAAGTCCAGTGTCAAAGTGCCAACATATGGTGAAAGACTTCTTGCTGCATTATAACATGGTGGAGGGCATCACATGGCAAGAGGGCAAGAGTATGCCAGTTCAGGTCTCTTTTCCTCCTATAAAGCCAGCAGTCCTATCATGGGGGCCCTATCCTGATGATCTCATCTAATCTTAATTACCTTTCAAATGCCCCACCTCCAAACACCATCAACATGAATTTGGGGATTAAGTTTCCAACACGTGAAATTTGGATAACACATTCAAACCACAGCATCCCACCCCTGGCCCCCCAACTTCATGTCCTTCTCACAATGCAAAATACATTCCTTCCATCCCAAAGATTCCAAAAGCCTTAACTCATTCCAGCATCAACTTGAAAGTCCAAAGTCTCATCTAAACCAGATATGGGTGAGAGTAAAGGCACAATTCACCTTGAGGCAAATTCTCTCCAGCTATGAGCCTATGAAATCGAAAGGAGTTATCTACTTCCAAAATATAATGGTGGGATAGATCGAGGATAGACACTAGCCATTCCAAAAGAGGGAAAGAGGTAAGAAAAAAAAGAGTAAGAGACACTAACTAGACCAAAACCCAACAGGGAAAACAACAATAAATCTTAAAGCTGGAGAATAACCTCCTTTGACTCCTTGTCTTGAAATTTGGGCACAGTGGGGTGGGCTTGGGCCCCCAAGGCCTCAGGAAGGTCCACCCTCACAGCTTGGCTAGGTTGAGTCTACACTTCATCTCTCTTAGGTTGGATCCTCCCACCTGCAGCTTTCCCAGGCTGGCATTGCATGCTGGTAGCTCTATACCTCTTGGGTCTTGGGGATGGCCTCAATTCCACAGCATTACCCTAGTGGGGAGTTTCTGCAGCTGTTCCACCTACAGCAACCTGGGATTCCACATCATCCAATACATCATTTGAAATCTAGGTGTAGGAAGCCATCCCCCAACAGCTCTTGCATTCTGAACACCTTCAGAATTAACACTACGTGGACACTGCCAAGGTTTACCATTTGTACCTTCCAGAGTGATAGGTCGAGCTGCACCTGGGGCCTGTTGAATGATGGCTGGGGCAGACAAGGGGTACTGAATCAGAATGCAGGGAGCAGAGAGCTGAGTGGGCCCTGGGCAGTGAGCCCACGGAGGACACCCTGACCCCATGCCTGGAAACCACTCTGTCCTAGTAGTCTGGGACTGCGATGGGAGAGGCAGCTGCTAAGACCTCTGAAATGCCTTTAGGGTCTTTCTCCTATTTTCCTGTTGAGTAGCTTCTGGTATCCTTCTATCCATACTAATATCTGTATCAAAGAAAAGGTGGCTTCACCACACCCTTTATTTACTCTTCTGAACATGCTTTTCCACTCTTTACACAGCCAGGCTGTAAACTTTCCAAATTTTTCCACTCTGCTTCCCGTTGCATCTTACATAAGTGTTAAAGGTAGCCATGCAGAGAAGCCTGAATGCTTTGCTGCTTAGAAATTTCTTCTGCTAATGGGCCGGCCCGGTGGTGCACTGGAAAGTGCGCCGCTTGGGAGTGTGGAGGTGCTCCCGCCGAGGGTTTGGATCCCATGTGGAGACCGGTTCCCACTCACTGGTTGAGCGCGGTGCGGGCGCAACACCGAGGGTTGCGATCCCGTTGCCGGTCCCCGGTGCGGGCGTGACACCGAGGGTTGCGATCCCGTTACCGGTCAGTAAAAAAGACAAAAAGGAAAAAAAAAAAAAGATCTTTCAGAGGTACGGCACACATATCCCCATATGTGTCATGTTACTGAGGGTGCTCCTGATGGAAACGGGTTTCCATTTTGATGATGAGCCCTAGAGAATTGAATCCTTCTTTTACGACCACACGTGTGTGTGAGCAGGAAGTTTCCACAGCCTTGCTTCTGGCTCTGTGTGTTGCCAACCTCGCACATTCCTGACTACCCCCATTCTTTTCATGCTGGCATTCCAGGCAGGTTTGCCTTGGCCATTCGGGCTACACCTCCATTCCCTGACACCAGGTGAGCTTCCTGGAAGCCATTCCTACATGTGCCCAGGGCATCTGCAATGTCCTACTGTCCCAGAAGCAACTGCTGGCATGTGGTCTACCCCTCACCACCCAAACCCCATGTATTGACTTCCCCTCAGCCACACACCAGACTGCCCATAGCCACTCCAATGCCACCAACAGCAGTGACAGAGAGTAAGTCAGAGTATAGGAGACAGCAGTCAGCCAATTGGAATGAAAATATTTTGCTTCTGCGAATTTCACAAAATCATATGACCTTGGGAGCACATTGGAAGAGGACTATGCAAGTTGGGGCCCTGAAGCTTAAACTGCATTTGCTTCATGACGGCATTACCAGCACTGCACTCTCCCGAGTGAGCCACAGGACCAGCCCCTAGTTCGTAACTCTTAAATTCCACCTTCCATAAAGCCCT